CCCGGCTGCGGTTTGGGTGGGGAAATCGGGGCCCTCCCGCGGCTCTGCCGTGCCAGCCAGGCTCTTCCCTGGCCAGCGTTTTGTTCTCGGGCTAAATATAGGAACCGTTAACATCTTGCATCCAGCGAATTTCAGCCTTTCTTCCTAGTGCTATTATCATCATTATCCCCATTTTACAGATAAGAAAATAGAGGCTCTGACAGATGAAGAAACTCAGAGTTGGCATGTGGGGCAGCGGGATTCGAACCTGCGCGACAGACTTGAAAGCCCAGTCTCTTAGTCACTGGGTTAGCGGGCATGCAGGGGCGGGTCTCCTTGGCGCGAAAACCACTTGGCACGATTGTGCCTCCCCATCCGCAGCGCCCCAAGGAGATGAACGCAGGACTGCGGGTATGGGAGGGAGGCGGGGGACGCGGAACACCACTCGCCTCGCTCAGCACCTCTGTAGCCCCCCAAACGTCTCCAGCTCCCATACCCCAGCTCCTCTCCGTTCCTCCTGACACACAGGAACCCCCAAACTGTATGGGGACCCCCAGTTTACCAGCTCCTGGAAAAAAAAATGGGCAGGTGATCGTCACCTCCTTTAGTCTCCTTCCTTAACGTCAGTGCTGGCCAGTGGCTTGTTTCTGCCCGGTTCTGGCTGCAGGCTCAGTAGCGAATATTAGGAAAGCTCGCCCGAGGCAGCTGGTAATGGGGTGCAGGGTTCATCCCCCATCTCTCCAGTGATCGGACCTGCTGCTGCAAGATGAGGGAGTCCAGAGAAGCCTTGCACTCTAGTTGACAATGAGCCGGTACCTACGAGGGTGTGACGGGGTGGGCTGGGGTGTCCGTGACCCTGGAACCACGAAAGGAAGACATCACGGAGAATTATAGCTTGAGTTTTATCCTAGAAGAACTTTTTAAAATATCTTCTGGGCTGGCGGATTAATTCACTTGGTTAGAGCACGGTGCTGATAGCACCAAGGTCAAGGGTTCGGATCCCCTTACTGGCCAGCTACCAAAAAATTAATATACATAT